TCCCACAGGATCGAGTGAGATACAGAACACAGCAAACGAGAAACGGTCAAACTGAGATCAGGCATCATCTCTGGGCCTTCCTGTGTTCTCAAAGTTGCTCCTTTTCCTGTTACGACTCCTCTGGCTCTCGTTTCCTTCCCCATTTCCAACTCTTACATCAACTGTGGCTGGTTGGAAGGCTCAACTGTCTTGCCTCTCTGATTTATACACAAATGTGATTTTTTTTAAAGATACAAATATCTTCATCTAGATGTGAAAACTTTATCCAGAAAATGAAAAACTGAACATACCTGGGATACCCAATGGATATTTAACATATTTTGTCCTTTAGATAAAGTGGCACTGAATACACTAACCGGTAAAAGACTTGGTTTATGTTAAAATTGTTGTTACTGTGTTTCAGGTGAACATTTACAGTCATTTCGCTCCTCCCACAATCTGCACCTGGACACGGTTTCCTTCGGTTCTTAGCTTGCCTTCACTCCCTTCTGGGGGCAGTCTGAGCTGAGGCTGAGAGCTGTACTTGGAAAGGTCATTTGCACACGTTTGAGCCCCGGCTGCTCCTCACCAAATCAGGAGGCAGTACGTTGTCTTCGTGAGTGCACTGGCTGAGCTCTGCCCAGCAAAACAGTTCTGTGCGCTGTGTGCACACATCTCAGAATATTACCTTTAGTTGTGAATAGTTAGATCACACCAAAAATGAAAGGTGATCTAGGCTGGTTCAAAGAAAACTGGATGTCCTCATCGGTTATAAAAAGATTTCCATGCATAGATTTTCTTTTTGGCTGAGAAAGTCAAAAGCATAAAGGCTTTTACAAATTTTATCTGATTGAATGGAAAATGGCTCAATTGTACGGTTCAAAATGAATTTTTATACCAACTCCATTTCCCAAAATTGGGGAAAAAAAAGTCCAACTATCCTGTGATTTCACCCCACATGATTTTTAGACAAGGACACTATTATGTTTTTTTTTAAAAATCACCCAAATTCTAGGCAGTTAACCAAAAAAGTGTAAATCCAGGCATTTTTACTAACCGACAGTTTATCCTTAAGTGCATTTTAAGTCTTGGTGTTTCTACTGCGCTTATTGATTCACATCATTACTCTGATTTACAGGCATTGTTCAAGGGGAATAACAGGTGGATTTGATTACTCATGGCACCTACATTTTAAATGGCCTCACTACTTGATATTCCAAATCAGAGCAAGAACAAACAAAAAGATTCTTGATAGCTTCGGATGGGAAGTGTCCCAAGTAGCGGTTGCATAACAGAAGTCACCCAGAGGGCAGGCGGGCGGGATGCGCTGGGCACGTGGAAGCGACCCTGAGCGGCCCCACTGCAACCCACATGTCGAAAGCCGCTGACTGGAAAAGTGAATAGCGGGGCACAGAATACAGGGAGGAGAACAACGAAGCCCCACCCCCTCCTTTACCTGCAGGAGAAGTTCTTGCAGCTGAGCCCGTTTCTGCTTGATCCGTTCTATCCGCCTCTGCTTCTCGATCTGGAAAACACAGGTTACGAAACAGCATCACCACCGTGTAAAGTGCAGCCGACACCCGGGTTCCCGTTCTGAGGAGCACGTTCTCTCCTCGGAGACACTGAACACATTCTATCAGCCAGCAGACAAAAATGGCTAGTCACATCGTCCAGTGGGGTAAGGCAGGCGTGTGGTGACAAATCATCCAGAATGAGCCCTCGGGGAGCAGCACATGTGGGGGTGCTCATCATCACAGCAACGGCTACCACTGCACGCACAGAACGCAACCAAGCACTTCACACACACATCCGAACTCACTTCTACAAACACATGAGGTAAGTCCTGCCCTCACTTACTTTACATGCAAGGAAATGGAGGACACACAGCTAGCGAATGGCAAAGTGAGAATTTTGAAACTAAGCCACCTTGTTTTGGAAACCCTGAAGTTAATAACTAAGTTTCATTACTTCTCCAAGACCGAGGGGGATGTCTTATCTAAGGGTTTAACTAATTCTTTTTATGAGCAGAGCTAACAAAGATGTCCCATATATTCAACACAGTATTTCTACTTAGTTTAAGGAACACGCTACAGCTTCAAACAATATTGTCCCTAGAAAACAGACACTATGGTCTACATTGGAGCCCTGCTAATGTAGTATGTCATGTGTTGGGCTGCTATCCACAAGGTCAGCAGTTCGAAACCACCAGCCGCTCCTTGGGCGAAAGATGAGACTTTCTACTCACGTAAAGAGTTACCGTCTCAGAAACTCGCAGGGGCAGCTCTACTCTATTCTATGGCGTGGCCAGAGTCAGAACTGACTTGATGGCAGCACGATGGTCTGCATTTCCTTGCAGAGAGAAGTCAATGACATAAAATAAGACCTTTTCCTTATCCAAAGATTAGTTTTTGTTTGCTGTCCACAAAACTCTAATCACCCTCTCTCTCCCTGCTCCTCTAACACTCACACTGTATTCCTAAATGACTTACACGCAGTGTCAAATCTGTCCGTTCTACGCTTGCCAAGATTTTGTATGAGCCTCCCCTGCATCGGAAGCTCTGATAGGTCTAAAAGGCACGACCAAAAGCCAAACAAGTTTTCCTAAGGCCCCGCCTGCCCCACCTCTAGCCAGGCCTAGTGGCACTGATTTTATCTCTAAACTCCTCTATCCCAACCACCACTGAGCCTCTCTGAACTGCACACAAAGGTTCCTTCTGTCTCTAAGCTTCCCTGGACCACTGCCCTTCTCATCTTCCTGTTAGTTTAACGACCAAACAACTAGTAAAGCCATTCTTTAAAACATAGCCTCCCCCTCCCTGCTGTATAATCCATCAACACCTAGCCAAAAACCAAACCCACAGCCATCAAGGCAATTTTGACTCTCAACAGTCTTTGGAGGGCTCCCAAGACTGTAAATCTTTATGGGAGTAAACAGTCTGATCTTTCAGCCACAAAGCAACTGGTGGCTCAAAACGCTGACCTTGTGGTTGGCAGCCATGCTTGTCCCACACTGTCCCACCAGGGCTCCCTATTTTCTCTATAAACAAACAAATAACCCTAAAAAACGCACTGCCATGGAGTCAGTTCTGACTCCGGTGACCCTATATAGGGTTTCTGAGACTAACTCTTCATAAGCGTAAGAAGTCCTGTCTTTCTCAAACTGCTGGCCCAAGCGTAAGAACTCTCCGCCACCAGGGCTCCTTGAATTCATCAATAGGGTTCCATTATTTCCAGGACCAGATCCCTACGGCTTAGCTCTTGAAACCCATCCCTTTCTCTTGGTGTGTACTCTGGCCACACCCAGCTAGGGCATGCTCTATTATGTCTCTGCCTAAAAGGCCCTCCAGCCTGTAGCCACTTGATGTGCCCCTACACCCTCACAAGTGACTGAATTCAGGGATTATTTCCTGGGAAAATACCTCCCTTATCTCTTTTTCCAGAGTCTGAGCCTACTTCTTACATAGAGGTGATCACAACTTTTGTAACTTCTTTTACACTCTTCTTTCCCCAGCATCAGTGACAGACAGTTCCTTGGGGTCAGAAATTTTGACTTGTATATTCTTTGGCTAAGCAAAGGGTAGAAATGGATATGTTTTTGTTAATTAGCTTAGTGTTATCAGTAATACTTCAAATCCCCTTCTATCCAAAAAAATTAAAATGAAAAAGGAGGCCATTTCACTCTAG